TAGTAGTAGTAGTAGTAGTAGTAGTAGTAGTAGTAGTAGTAGTAGAAGTAGTAGTAATTGTAGTAGCAGTAGTAGAAGTAGTAGTGGTAGTAGTGGAAGTAGTAGAAGTAGTAGAAGTAGTAGAAGTAGTAGTAGTAGTACTAGTAGTAGTCGTAGTAGTAGTAGTCGTAGTAGTAGTAGTAGTAGTAGTAGTAGTAGTAGTAGTAGTAGTAGTAATAGTAGTAGTAGTAGTAGTCGTAGTAGTAGTACTTCTACTACTACTTGTAGTAATAATAGTAGAAGTAGTCGTAGTAGTAGTAGTAGTGGTAGTAATATGTTGTAGTCGTAGAAGTAGTAGTAGTAGTAGTAGTAGTAGTAGTAGTAGCGATAGTAGTAGCAGTGGTAGTAGTAGTAGTAGTAATAGTAGTAGTAGTGGTAGTAGTAATAGTAGTACCAATAGTACTATTAACTCTAGTAATAGTAGTAGTAATACCAATAACAGCACTAGTAATCGTATCGCTCACGGCACGCGCTTGTGGAATCGGTTCTACACGAAGAACAACGACAACAAAAACCAATCTTCAAAAAACAACCACACTTTGAACATAACAACGACATCCCGGCTGAACCAGCAACCCTCCGCCCACGAAATTGTGACAACGGCCGAAACTCGATAGACTGCATGCACGGGCTATTTTGGCAAAAACGCAGAACAGTGAACACATCGAAAAACTTTAACAAATCTACCAAAAGTGAGCGAATCCTGCCTGATTTGTCTGGAAACAGGAACCGGCATTTGCGATGCAAGGGCAATTCTTTCAAACATTGGTTAATATGTGGTAGGACAACTGAAAAATCCGGTTCGTATCCGCTCTGCTTTGGTTTCAACGCGCGCGCATATGGTTTCGAACACGTTCCTTTCTAACGTCCTTCTGCGCGTTCTAATAGTCATCGCGCGAATGCGAATTCTAATGTACACCTTCACTTAATGCGACTCTGGCCCGGATCTCAGAACTCACACTGGTTCACGCGGTTTCGCTCGTCACAGAGGCAAAAAAAACTCGAAACACGCTCTGCAACGGTGAAAAAATTCGCACACAACTCCCGAAGGCACCGCGGGCCGCGAGAGAGGCCAGGGGAGGTCCACCTGCCACCTCAGGGGGCCACGACCCACAACAGAGGCCCGTCCTGAGGGGTTCGACGTTGCGCCCACTGTCGTCGTGCAACCACCGCGCACAATTTGACCACGCTGGCCTGCTCTAGATGGTTGAACGGGTAGCAGTAGTAGTAGTAGTAGTAGTAGTAGTAGTAGTAGTAGTAGTAGTAGTAGTAGTAGTAGTAGTAGTAGTGGTAGTAGCAGTAGTAGTAGTAGTAGGTCGTAGTAGTAATATTAATAGTAGTAGTAGTAATAGTAGTAGTAGTAGTAGTAGTAGTAGTAGTCGTAGTAGTAGTAGTAGTAGTAGTAGTAGTAGTAGTAGGAGTAACAGTAGCAGTAGTAGTAGTAGTAGTAGTAGTAGAAGTAGTAGTAGTAGTAGTCGTAGTAGAAGGTCGTAGCAGTAGCAGTAGTAGTAGTAGTAGTAGTAGTAGTAGTAGTAGTAGTAGTCGTCCGGATAGTATAGGTAGTAGTGGTGATGTTAGTAGAGTCGTAGTAGTAATGGTACTTGTTGCCAGGAGTCATCGTGGTAGTAGTAGTACCCTTAATAGTAGTCGTAGGGGTACTATTCGCAGGAGCACTAGTAGTAGTAGTAGTAGTAGTACTACTACTACTACGACTACTACTACTACTACCCGTCGTAATAATAATCGTTCTAGTAGTACTAGTAGTTATAATCGTAATGTCAGTAGCAGTAATAGTAATAGTAGTAGTAGTAGTAGCAGTAGTAGTAGTAGTACTAGTAGTAGTAGTAGTAGTAGTAGTAGCAGTAGTAGTAGTAGGAGTAGTAGTATTAGTCGTAGTATAAGTACGATCAGTAGTAGTGGTAGTAGTAATAGTAAACGTAGTTAAAGAAGTAGTAGTAGTAGTAGTAGTAGTAGTAGTAGTAGTAGTACTAGTAGTAGTAGTAGTAGTAGTAGTAGTAGTAGTAGTAGTAGTAGTAGTCGTCGTAGTAGTAGTAGTAGTAATAGTACTCGTACCAATCACTGTAATACGGCGAAGCAGTGGTTAGTGCCAAAAAATAACGGCATCGGTGCTTGGGGTTGTAGTGTTTGGTGCGTGGGGTAATGTGGTGGTGGTGTTTGGTGTTTGGGGGTTGGTGTTTGGGGTTTGGGGTTCGGTGTCTGAGATTTGGTGTTTGGTGTGTGGGGTGTTAGGGTGTGGTGTTTGTTACTTGGTTGGGGTGTGGTGTTTGTAGCTTGGTGTTGGATTCGGTCTTTGAGGTTTGGTGTTTGGTGAGTGTGGGGTGTTAGGGTGTTGGTGTTTGGTGTTTGGGATTTGGGGTTTGGGGTTTGGTGTCTGGTGTCTGGTGCTTGGGGTCTGGGGTTTTCGGTTTGGTGTTTGGTGTTTGGGGTGTGCTGTTGGCAGTTTGGAGTTTGGGGCTTGGTGTGTGGTGTTTTGGGTTTGGGGGTTGGGGTTTGGGGTTTGGCGTGTGGCGTTTGGTGTTTGGTGTTTGGTGCTTGGGGTGTGGGTTTGGGGGTTTGTGGTGAAGGGGTTGGCGGGGTGGTGGGGTTCGGTGTTTTCCTTCACAGGTTTCCAGCAAGTTGTTCCTAGGCCACCTCGGGGAAGAGCCCTGCTCCCGAAGGAAAATCTCTTTCCCCAGAGAAGGAGTTTTTCCTCCACTCATCAGGAGGGGAAGAAACACACAGACACAATTAATCGTCGATCCCCAAGAAAATATAGGAAAATATGGGAAGTGGTGGGGAAGACAAAAACTCAGAAAATATGGGAAAATATGGGGAATATTTTTATTTGTGTGTATTTATTTGTGTGTTTGTGGGCCTCTTCAACTCAGTGCACGGGGCGCCCACGAGCGCCCACGAAGGCCCACGAGGCGCCCAGAACAAAGCAGAAGAAAGCGAGCCACCTGTGCGTCGCTGCGTCGTGCGCCCACAGGTCGGAAGTACACCCTGCGAAATGCTTAAGAAATCATGGGTTAAGAAAGTCATAGTCTCAGAACTTTAATAAAAAACCCAACATTTCTATCAAAATCTTGGGATTTACGTCGAAACGTTAAGAATAATCGAGACCCTGGCCGAAAATTTTGGTTTTCTTAAGCATCGCCTACGGTGTACAAGGGGAAGCCGAAACGTTCGATGGCGGGCCGGCGGAGACCGGTGGACCGTACGGCGACGAGCGGGGCGATGAGAAGGATATCAGGCAACAACGTGAACCATCGCAACTGCATACACCCTGCGAAATGCTTAAGAAATCATGGGTTAAGAAATTCATGGTCTCAGAACTTGAATAAAAACCCAACATTTCCTTGAACATCTCAGGATTTACACTGAAACGTTAAGAATACTCGAGCCTCTGGCCGAAAACTTAAGTTTTCTTAAGCATAGCTTAAGGTGTATGTTGTCATCGTTGCACGGCCACATGTGCACAACCAGATGAAACTAAATCGCACACCGCATAGATCAACAGGACCAGGCCAGAACATATGACACTACGCCTGATCGTATCAGAATCGGCTGAACGCACCCAAAAATCAGCACGCGATACAAGTCAGGGTGATTGAGCATGAGACACAGCGAATAATAGGCGATACACTGGTCGCAAGATGGGCTGGTGGGAACACGCGACGCATTTAGAATTACAATGGGTCCAGGCACTCAGGGCCATGACCCTGCTGCAACTTACAGCGGACACGCGGACTCAGGGTCGCAATCCCATGCAACTGTCAACATGATGTGCGCCCCCACGATCCCAAGAGAATTACAAAGGGTTCGCGCTCCGAGAACGACGATCCCTCGTGCAAAATGATCAAGACCCGCGCTCTCAGGGAAACGGTCCATTGTAGATTGAAAAAAGCTGGGCTCCCAGGCCAACGACAACAAGCAACTGACATCGGATCTGCGCTCCCAGAACGACACTCCCTCAAGCATTACAAAAGATTCGCGCTCCCAGGGCCAGGGGCCAGGAACTCTGGTAAATTACAATGAAACGCCTTCCCCAGGGTGACACTCCCTTCGAATATATCCCGACGACGCTCTGGATAGTCTGCGTGACAAGGGTCCGAAAAAGGGCCGAGTCTTACTTCACGTTCTCCCTGGTAAATTTCCAGATTGCCCCAAGCCGTCTCAATATAGACTCAATGCAAAAGAACCCATGGGTGCAAGAATGGCTATACCAGTAACGTCCCGTGGATGGCCCGACAGTTTTCCCAAGAGGGACCCATGAGCCTCCAGGAGGAAGAGGAGGAACGACGACGACGAGGACGACGACGACGAATCACTCGATGCCTGTGGCATGCAGGCCGGTGGCAATGGCCGAAGGCCTTCCGATGAAATCAACACGGAAGAAGAGCCTGAAGAGGAAGAGGACGGGGGAAGGGAAGACCGCGACGAAAAATGATCCTACGAGTTGGAAGGGATACACAAACATAGGTGGATAAAAGCGGAGAGGAGAAACCGAGAAGGAAGAGGGAGGCCGGGAGGACACCAGAGGCGGGAGGGAGGAGGGAAGGGCAGTGCAAGCAGGAGCGAGCGGAGGAAGGAGGACGGAGGAGGCATGGGGGAGAGAAGGGGGACTGGGAGGCGGGAGGGAAAGAGGGTGGTCGGGGCAAAAGGCACGTGGGGTGGGGGGGGGGCATGGAGGCAGGTGGGAGCACGAAGGCGGAAGAAAACGCTGCGGACCTACACCCTGCGAAATGCTTAAGAAATCATGGGTTAAGAAATTCATACTCTCGGAACTTGAATAAAAACCCAACATGTCGATTCAAATCTTAGGATTTACATTGAAACGTTAAGAATAATCGAGACTCTGGCCGAAACCTTAAGTTTTCTTAAGCATCGCCTAAGGTGTAATGTCTCAGGCGCGGCACCCCTTTTTCCTTCCAAGCCGGGGGAACACCGCGTCGACCGCGTCACAGGAGCTGCCTGGAGAGCCGCGAGTGCTCCCGCGACAGGCTCGAGGGCTCCCTGGAGGGCCGCGGCGTTTCGCCTGCTGCTTAAAACTGCCGTCGACCTGCGAAAACCCAGCGCGTCGTCCTGCGCAGACTCTTCCCCCCGCCCGCCCCTGACACCGTCTCGCCTGCGTCATCTAACTCCCCGACTCGCTCGACTCAATCTACACTCACTGCTCCCCCCTCCCTCCTCTGCGGCAGCTGGCTGCGCAAGGCCTCCCGTCCACCTGTCCCGCGGAGCTCGTGGACCCCAATGAGGGACTGATGGTCCAAGAACTTGGTGTGCTGATGTGGATGCCGACGGTCTGCAAGGACTCGTCCCGCTGGCGCGCGCGCGCGCCTGGCGCCACGTTACCGTGGGCTTTGGAGCCGAACGGCCACGGGGCCGGGATTTCAAACACCCCTGGCCGCGAGAGCCAAAACTACAAGGATTTGAGTTATGGTGTTGTTGCCCGTTGCCGCCCGCAGGCCGAGATCAACTCTTGCACCTTCAGGAAACCATGTCTGGCCTTCAGGATCTCTTGCGAGCCGTGAGCGAACTCCTCAAGGACCCTGAAAGCGTAGGGGCCCCATCGAGGACCCTTGATGTTTTGCTTCAAGTCCTCAAGGGGCCCCCCAAAAGCCGTGAAGAAACCCCTTAAGCCGCTGAAGGGGCCTTGACGCCTTCAACAGCTTTCAGGGAGGCCCTGATAGAGTGACTGCCTGACTGACTGACTGTGGCCTTGCACCCGCTGCGGACGCGCATGCGCGAAGAAAGTTCCGCAGACTCGCTTCAAAAAGCATAAAACATGCAGAAATGCCTCGTTATGTACTGGAGTTGGCCATTGCTGTCTGGGACGCCCCCGGCGCCTGCGACAACCCAATGTTTTGGCGAGCCGTCGCGCTTGCGCACAATGCGCCGCACACAATTGAACGTAACGTTCACATAAGATTGAAGACAATGGTTCTGATCCGTTTTTGTTCCCAACACGTCTTCGGCGTTGACGCGCGAGATGTACGGCGCAAACATGTGCATTGCAATGCGCCGAGCCTGTCTCTGTTACTTTTCAGCAGCCACAGTGAACCAAGTGACTAGAACAGCTTGCTGAGCACGCAGATGCTGTAGCTGAGTATGTTGCGCCGCCAGCCAAAGGAGGAGCGCGCCCAAAATTTAGACAATTGCCCAAAACTTCCTCTGGCTTCTCCTTGGCGCCTTGATCGTTCATTGCCACCGCGTCCATCATGGGCTCTTAGGTCCCCCTAAATAGATAGCTTCCTTCACAATCTTGATTGACTCTCCATCCGGCTTGTTCACAAAGCCAGCAGTACCTATTTGAAGCTGCGCAGTGCTGTCCCAATTCATTTCAAGTTTGTATTTCCGCCCTTCTACCACTCCCAGCGCAGTGTCGTCGGCGTACAAAATATCTCTGGAGACCACATCGGAGCCCTGCATGGGCCCAAGGTCCCCCAAACGCTAGGAGGGCCCCAGGACCAAGAAGTGCAAAAAATCTTCAAAACTCCTGAACAGCTTGAAAAACATTGTGACGTTGTCCTCCTCAGGCCCTCTTCGGGCCCCTCTTATCAGGAGCAGCTGAAGACATCTTGGGAACTTCGTGAACCGTAGACTTCTACGAGCCTCGCGCATTTCGAAGACACTGACGCACCCAATAAACTTATCTGACATGACATATAAAGGTGTAAAGACACACAGAGTGTGATTTTCTAGTTTACTCCCACATCCAAACTGGGTGTATACGAAAGAATACATACATTCTCGTTCTTCGACTACATCGGACGCAACGCACTTCACTTAGCTGTTTTGCACGTTGAAGTTGAATTCTTTGCCTGCTCATAAAGGAGTTTCAATCTCCGTTGGCAGTGTCCTTAAATTCGCAGCATGCTTGCACTTAGGGCTTCTTACTTGTGTTTTAGAGTCACTGAGCCCTGGTGCGGGCCTGGCCGGCTCGTCGCATCCCGTCGCCGCCACTTGCACTGGGCCCGGTGCCGGTCCGGCCGCCTCGTCGCTGCCCGTCGCCGCCGTCCGTCGCCTCTCGTCCATTGGCGCTCGTCCACACTCATTATATAGACCAGCTGACCGTCCCATTGCAGAGCATATCATGGCTTAGCTTAGCATGCATCAGCGCAGCATAGCGCAGCAGGGCATAATAGAACAACACGATGCAAACAATATGGTGCGACGGTAATTTGCACCGCATCGGTTGCATTGCGGAGACTGGTCTGCATGGAATATCACAACATGGATTACATTGCATGTATTGCATTGCGTAGGCTGCATCGCAAAAGCCGCATCGCAGAATTTACTATAACACAACGTGTTGGGTCCACACTGGCCAACATTATTCAAATCGCCGCTCGTAATTATCCCACATTCCGAGAAGGACCGTGTCTCGCCGAATGGGAGACCATAACCCTTGATCTCTCCATCGGTCATCACGCCGCCTGCTCTTCCTCATCCCTCGGTCCCTCCTTTTTTCCTTCCTTGCGTCTTTCCTTCCCCTTCCCTCCAACCACCCTCCTCCTCTCCTCGTCCCTCATTCACCCCATTTTCCTTCATCTGTTCTCCCTCCTCCTCCTCCTGCGGGTACTGCGGGTGCTAGGAGAGTCAGCCATACAGAGCACAGCTGGCACATGGGCACGAACCCAGAAGATAAGTGTTGAGTGATAAGTTCCCCCAGGGCGGTGCCGCTGACCTGCTGGGGGGAATGAATTCGACACGGTGTCATCGGAAACTTGCCTTTAAGGAGGGCACGCTTCTCTTTCGAATTGTCATTCGGCACACATCTCGACCTCAACTCGATGGCTTTCTGAGTCCCAAAAGCGCCGCACCTGGAGCAAAACACAACAGGAAGACCAGACTCCACGACAAAAACGACGTGGAGGGAATGCCCGAAATGTCCAGGGGTCTTCAGCACTTCCAGAAGCGAGGGATTCAGGCCGATACAAGGGGTCTTAGTGCGTGGTGACACAGTTCTGAGACAGTGACTGCACCGCCAGTGATCTATGTGCCAGTAAGGGATATGTGGTGACGTAAGGGTCCTACGACGGCCACGGGGTCTCACAAATTCCTTATCCAGCACTCCGAACAGATCACTGGGGGGGGCCAGAGGGCAAGGACTTTCCCCATCCCCACAAACAGCTCTTTAAACTGCTTAAACGTGGAATCTACGGTATCGGATAACGAGGGGTCAAAATCGTGAGACCTGGACCCTTGTTTGGCGAGCCAATCGGCATAGTTATTACCTAATATATATGCTTTATCATTCTCGCTGATGGCTGAGTCTTCTGCTCTGTGGGCCTTCACCTTATGGAAGGAAACCCATTCGCCAACCTCGAGAGTCGCGGCTACCTCGCGCCAACAGTGAGCGGCTTCACACTTGGCCGCGAGAACCTGATCAGGATGTGACTGACCACGGAGCAACGCAGCGAAGTCCACGGCCAGCGGCTCTTTGGGCCCGTTGGTATCTTCGCGTTCCCTGTGCAAATGCGCCACCATCATGGCGATTAATTATCCTACTCTACTGCTCTGACCAAAGACTCTGGGCACATACCCACATATGCCTCGGACGGAGTTCCCCTGGGCATCCACAAGACCGACCCCCCACCCCGCTCTCGCCAAGTACCCCAGATTCGGCCTCAGGCAGTACCCGTCCGAGTACAACTGATCACTGGGCGAAAACGTAAAGGGGTCCGTTTGTCGGCCCCCTTGGAAGAACTTCGCGTCCCACTCCTCAGCAGGTGGATCAGCTGGGAGACGGGCAAGCCAGCACCTCGTGAGCAAAAGACTGGACTCTCCAGCCTCAAGCGCCTGACAAATCGTGGCCACCGAAAAGACCTCTTCTCTTTTCGTTTTGCCGTGCACACGCTGCCAGGCTCTATGAAAAAACGGCATCTGGGACCCCGCAGCCAAACCTGCACTCGGGGCCCAAAGAATAGCCCCAGGACCTGAGTTCCACAGCAGTCGGGGTGGCCCCTCCGAAAACCTGTCTGGCAGCACAAACTTTTTTGGGCTCTAAGCCATGCTTGCTAGCTAACACTTTAGCCGCCAGCTCCCACCAAAGCCCATGTTCTTTAATAAGGTCGCTACAGGGGCTGGGGTGGGTGTGACACTTAAGCTTAGCCACATTCTGAATCCTACTATTCTTAGTTTGTGCTCCAAATCGCTTACTGATGAAAGCAGGGGCCAACTTCAGCACATCAAGGGTACCACCCTCGAGGTCGGGGAAGGAGGTGGGGCACAGGACAGTCCACCCCGCCTCCCAGCACCAGAGGAGGACATCGCTGAGTGGCCCCTTGCGTTCTTTAAACCAATTGTTTGCTAGCAGCTGTCGGGTTTCTTTTTATTGCAGCCTGGAAAAGCCTGGTCAGCACTGGTGGCCCAAGAACATCATCATGTCGCCGTTGGAGGTCCGCTCCAGGGAAGCTAGACATCCACCATTCTGAACAATATCTGAAGATGCTCATGCTGGCCGCGTGGATAGGGCCTTTCACTCTTGACAACGACCACGCGAGCTCAGCGTTCAGGCCTTTCATAGACATTCCCATCGACTTAGAGACCTGAGCTCGTAGCCTGTGAACTTGGGCAGGCGAAAACGCATGAACATCTCCACCATACAGCACAGTGGGTACCATATTAGTGATAGCCAAACTTGTCTTGTGTCCACGGTGCGCGAACTTCATGTTAGCCAACTTCTTTTTCTGGTGAGCATCTTTCTCCATCTCATCACACGTGTCGTATGAGCCTTTGGATGTGCTCGATGCTTGCCACCTGTGTAGTCAACCCCAAGATTGCGAAGACCATATTCACCAGGTCCCCCAAGCTTGCCCAACATGGTTCTAGCCAACTCAGTCATCCTGCCAGAAGAAGTGACCATGTTGAGTTTGTGCGTGGCGAACGGTAGTCCCAGCTCCTTCTGAAGACGGTGGCCCACTCGATGCACATGCTCTTTCATCTCTTTCAATACCGTCAACATTGTGTCGCCCCACTGGTGCTGAGAAAGATCATCAACATGGAGAGATAACATACTGTTAGCATCACCTCTCAAGTCCATCTCATCATCCATCATGGGAAGGAGCGCCATCTTAGCCTCGAACGTCGCACAGGCAGATCCTGCGACGATGCCTCTCTGCGGGTCCAGCGGGTCCATCAGCATGCCGTCATACTGAAGATATCTGGGCCATTGGTACGTCTGCACCGCCATTCTCAAAGCAACTATGGGGACATTGGTTAGCGTACTGTTGGTCTCGAGCAAGTCCCACGGCACATGCTCATAGAACTGGAGGAGGTCCCACAGCACAGCAATGTAATACAGGCCCATGTTGTTCGAGCCCTCGGATATCGCCGCCTGTCGCCAAACCGTGTCACTTGGTCCTCTGCCTTGCGACATGCTATACTGGCCTCCGAGACCTTGGTAGCGCTCCCAACGACGAAGACGATGCCTCCACAATCTTCCCGAGATGCGGGCTGGAGCCGGGTAGAATCCCAGCGGTAGTCTGCCACCAAGAGGCTTGTGGTTCAACTGCGCCACCAACTTCTGAGTAGAGGTTGGAGTTTGGCCGCACATCTCCATCAAGAGGAGCAACTTGCCAAATACTGCACGAGACTCTTCACCAAGTAAACTGTAATGGCGAGGATGCCACCCATCAGGTTGACAAGTGTGAGTCTTGAATCGCTTGCCCTCCTCCTCCTCCTTATCCTCCTCCTCCCCTCGCTCCTCCTCCGTCCCACATCATCCCTCATATTTCCTTCCTTATCCACTCTTTCTCCTTCATCCTCCTCCGATCAATCTACCTCCTCCTTCTCCTCACCACCACCACCACCGCCGACGCCGTGGTCGTCGTCGTCGTCGGCGGCGGCACCATCATCACATCAGCATTGGCATGAATACCAGCAACAGCATCAACTTTCCTTGTAAGACTGCTCGCTCTTACCTGCTCGCGTGACATTCATCACTTGAATCCCACACCCTCGATAGCAGCCCTCTTCGTCTTCAATCGTGACCCCCTGGGGATATATTTTCCTTACCTGCATGTGTAGTTGGCACAGCCGCTAAAAAGAAGCAGAAAGGGAGAGAGGAGAGAAAGGGGAGAAAGGAGGATGGAGCACGAGAAAGATTTGCAAGAGGGGGGTCAAGAGCAGGAGCCCAAACGGCAGAACAAGACGGGCGGGTTGGGCGAGCGGATCTTGACGGGCAGGTCGGCAAGCAGATCGGACAGGCGGGCCCAGACGGCTGGATCGAGCGGGCGGGTTGCCGAAGCACCAGTCAAGCATGAATCGCAAGGAATTTCGAGCGATAGAGCGACTCCGAGTAAGCCATGGGGAAATCCAAAGCGAGAGCGTGATATCTGCGTGTTTGGGGCACGGCGCCGCAATCAGATGGCGAGGAAGTACCACGTTCAAAAACACCAGGGGCACCGGTGGTGGGAGTCAATTGTAACTGTTATTTGCAAGAGGCAACCCAACATCAGCATAAACAGCAACATCAACAGTACCACCAGCACCATCGCCATCGTCGCATTCGTCATCATCAACGACAACAGCATCATCATCATCATCATCATCATCATCATCATCATCATCATCGTCATCATCGTCATCGTCGTCGTCGTCGTCGCTGCCGTCGTGACCGTCGTCTCTCACCATCGCAAAGAAAAACGGATCCTGGAGACGTGGCAACTGTTCTGCTCGCTGGCCAACGGGCTGCGTCCCGGAGGAGTATGCGGCAACCCTGAGGTGGCAGGCGCGGTTTGTCCAGCACACATCCCCCTCCTTCGCCTGTTCTCCTGTCCCGATCCTCCCCTCCCTCTCCCTGCTGGATTCCCCATGTATCCCCGAGTGCTACCCAACAGACAGAACGGTCTGCCAACGTTCTTGGCACTCCTCTCTCCGCCCTCAGCTGGGTCAGACTCTTCCTCTATTCGTACCCCCATCCCCCCCCAGGAAGGGCGCCTCAAGACGAGCGTCCACCACTGATCCAGCGCAAATGCTGACCGAGCACATCCTGCCCTCGTAACTCCGCTCCCGATTCACCTTGCACGCCTTCTCTCCCCCCATCACCCAGCCCCTAGTACCCATCCATCTCTCTCTCCCCTTCTCCTTCTCTCTCTCTCTCACCCTCTGCTTATGTATCCGGCAACGTTCCATGAGGCACGAATTGAAAAAGGCGTGTTGAAATCTCGGGTAAGTGGTAACCGGCATTTCTAGATCGCGCGCGCGCGGGGCGGCCCCTGGGGGTCCGCGGTCGGAAAAAATACCCCAAGCAGGTCACGTGCAGTCCCCGTCAGAGACGGTTCTGCTCCTGGGCGCCGCCCTCAGGGCCTCCCAAGAGCCCCAAGAGCGGCCCAAAGGTCTCCAACAGGCCCCCTAGATGGACCGAGAGGTCTCCAGGGCACGACAAGATCGCTCCAGGACGCCCAAGACGGCTCCCAGACGGCCCAAGAGGCGTCCAAGAGCACTCCCCAAAGGGCCCCCAGAGGCAAAGTTCATAGATTCCCCTTCGGTTTTTGGTGGATTTGGGCGTTCTTGCCTTTTCGGCTTCCCGACGCTCCGAGACAGCCCAAAAGGCCTCCAAGATCGCCCCCGATGGCCCAAGAGGCCCCCAAGAGGGACCCCAAACAGCCCAAGACGCGTGAGCGAACTGTCCATCTTTCATATTAGTGGCTTTCCAGCAAGCGATTCCAAACCTTTTCAAACAAATACCAATTTCTGAAACGGTTATCCTGTGCGGTTTGGTCTTGTCTACTGGCGAAGCCCACATTGGGCAGATTCTGGCATTACACAAAATCACGAATCTTCGTACTAACAACGAGTTCAAGATGAATGCTTTCGAGTCGATGGTGTGGCTCGCACCACGTGCCGCAATGATAATGACTGTCTCGTCTGTATACAAACTTGAACTTGGGGAGTTTTGTGGGAGTCGGCAGTAAATTGCAGCAGAGGCGTACTCTCGACAGTTTTACCCTGTAGCGAGCGGAGCGATGTTGCAGCCAGTGCGTCCCAATACGTCGCTCATGGTCGCCATGCTAGTCCCAGCGCGTCTTCGAGCACGCGTCGAGTACGTCGATCGTGATACGGAATGCAAAATCTACATCGGAGCAACTCGGTCGAATCTGATCGAAGCCATTTTTGCCACACGAGAAAACAATTGAGCTGGGCGGCCAAATCTTTTTCACTATCGTGTGAGATGTTGGAATTCCGCGACTCTCAATACCGCAGCATAGTGTTAATCGGTTGCAGGGGCGCATCATAATTTGCATGAAAGCCAACTGCTGGTTGACTGATCTTGTTCGCTACGCGCAAAAATGTCCCTACGCTCGTATAGCAGTTCCATAGAGTGTCAACTGCTGGTTAACCGATCCTTTGTGCAATGCGCAAGATGTTACTTCAAGTTTGTAGCGCATACGTTCGAGTGTCAACTGCGGGTGGACCAATCTTCCAGGCAATGCGCTTAATGGTACATGACCAGATACAACAAACAAGAGTGTGAGAGAGAAAAAGACACACAAAACCATTGTTAATCACAATCTATTGAACGACGAAAGATTTGGACGCCCGGAATGGGTACGGAAAGAATGGGACAATGCCCAACAACAAATGTTGTCCTTAACCAACAGCGGCCGCTGTTGGGCCGGCGGCCTTCTGCCCCAAACGGACATAGGCCGCGGCGGCGCGGACAGCGAGTCCTTTTCAAAGTGAACAGGAACTGCTGTTGAGCATTGTACCCATTCTTTCCGTGCCCATCTCGTTCGTGCAGAAAAGAGGGTGGACTACCCCCCCCGACAACGAATACTTGCATATTCATTGTCAACCTCCCGCTATTGAAAAGGATATCTGGCCTATCGAAGACGCTTACGGCGGATCACCGCCGCCCCCTGCCCCTTTGGACGCGCCTCTGTGGCCGACAGCTGGGCCAGAGCTTGGCCAAGCTATCGGGCCAGTTGTTCCCCGAGTCGGTTTGGAAAGACTTCGGAGAACGCATGGGGGAGAAAGAGGAGGAGGAGGAGGGGGAGGATGAGGAGAAAAGAGGAGGAGGAGGAGGCCTCTTGGGGCACTCGTGGGGCCTCCTGGGAGCTTCCTGGGGGCCTATTGGATGGTTTTGGAGGCCTTTGGGGACTTCTTGGGGGCCTCTTTGGCCGTCTTAGGGCGTTCCTGGCTTGCGTGACGCCGTTGGAAGCCGTCTTGGGGGCCTGTCTGGGTCGTCTTGGGGCCCTCTTGGGGCACATCAGGGGTTCTTCGAGGCCATCTTGGGCGTCTTGGAGGCCTCTTGGGCTGTTTTGGGCCCTCTTGGGCCCGTCTTGGGGGCCTTTTGGGCAGTCATGGGGCCATCTTGGGAGCCTCTTGAGCGATCTTGGAGGCTTATTGCGCCGTCTTGAGCCGTCTTGAGCCATCTGGGCCGTCTTGGAGGCCAACTTGGCAGTCTTGGAGGCCCCTTGGGCCGTCTTGAGGCCCTCTTGGGGGCCTCTTGGGCCGGCATGGGGCCGTCTTGGAAGCCTCGTGGGCGATCTTTGGGGCCTCTTGGGCCGTCTTGAGCCGTCGGAATGCCGAAAAAAAACAAATGCCAAAATCTTTCAAAAATATACGGAAACTCATTGATGTTGGCCTCGCCGTGCCTTCCTGGAAGACCTCCTGGACGCCCATTGGGCCGTCTTGAAGGCCTCTTGGGGGTCTCTTGAGCCGTCTTGGGCCATCTTGAGGTCATTTTAGGCAGTCTTGGGTACATCTTGGGCCGTCTTCGAGGCATCTTGGGGCCATCTTAGCAGGTTTGGATGTCATTTTGGCCGTCTTGGGCCCTCATCTTGGAGGCCTCGTGGGCGATATTGGGGGCCTCTTGGGCCGCCTGGAGCGGTCGGAATGCCGAAAAGAAACAAATGCCAACATCTTTCAAACACCTACGGACAATCAATGATTTTGGCTTCTTCGGGCCCTCCTGAAGGACCTCTTGGAGGCCTCTCGGGCCGTCTTGGAAGCCTGTTGGGGGCCTCTTGGGCCGTCTTAGGCCATCTGGAGGCCATCTCAGGCCGGATTGGGTGCATCTTGGGCCATGTTGGAGGCATCTTGGGGCCATCTTAGCCGTCTTTGAGGCCATCTTGGGCGTCTTGGAGGCCTCTTGGGCCGTCTTGGGGCCCTCTTGCGGCCGTCTTGGGGGCCTCTGGGGCCGTCATGGGGCCATCTTGGAGGCCTCGTGGGCGATCTTGGGGCGATCGTGGGGGCCTCTTGGGCCGTCTTGAGCCCTCGGAAGGCCGAAAAGAAGCAAATGCCAACATCCTTCGAAAACCTAGGGAGAATCAATGATTTTGGCCTCTTCGGCTCCTTCTGGAGGACCTGTTGGAGGCCTTCGGGTCCTCCTGGAGGAGCTCTTGGAGCGTCTGGGAGGCCTCTTGGGGGCCTCTTGGGCCGTCTTAGGCCACCATCTTGAGACTATCTCAGGCCGCCTTGGGTGCATCTTGGGCCGTCTTGGAGGCATATTGGGACCATCTTAGCCGTCTTGGAAGACATCTTGGGCCATCTTGGGGCCGTCTGAGGCAAGAAAACCGTTTGCAACCGGGTCTTCCGGGTGGCCGGCGGGACGCGCCGGAGCCCCAGGGGGAGTTCTTTTGGAAAAAAACAAAACCAAAACCGAGATCATCTAGCACGCCAGGCACCCCTGCGATGAATCGACAGGGGGCGGCGGATCGAAGACGCCTACGGCGAATCACCGCCGCCCCCTGCCCCTTTGGACGCGCCTCTGTGGCCGACAGCTGGGCCAGAGCTTGGCCAAGCTATCGGGCCAGTTGTTCCCCGAGTCGGTTTGGAAAGACTTCGGAGAACGCATGGGGGAGAAAGAGGAGGAGGGGGAGGATGAGGATAAAAGAAGAGGAGGAGGAGGAGGAGGAGGAGGAGGAGGAGGAGGAGGTCTCTTGGGCGCCTCTTGGAACACTTCTGGGGCCTCCTGGGAGCTTCCCGGGGGCCTCTTGGAGGGTTTTTGGGTGCCTTTGGGGACTTCTTGGGGGCCTCTTTGGCCGTCTTAGGGCGTTCCTGGCTTGCGTGACGCCGTCGGAAGCCGTCTTGGGGGCCTGTCTGGGTCGTCTTCGGGCCCTCTGCGGCAAAACCAGGGCTGACGATGGGCTGGTTGCAGACATGTTGAACACAGGGCATGCCAAGTTGGCCACTGTCATCGCATAATTTTCTCGCAAATGTTGGGTGGGGTCGTGCAGCCGCCGGAAGAATGGGAACTTACCGAATGTCGTAGTGTGTTGTTCAATAAAGGGGACCTGTCCTTGCCCAAGAACTGCAGACCCATCGCTATATTGCCCGTGATGGCGGCGGCGATCGATTCGAAGCTATCCAGAGAGCCGTTCGGATTCAGACCAAAACGTGGTTGCGCAGACGCAATACACATAGTGAGAACAGTCATCGAAAAGTCACTCCAATGGGGAGAGGAGCTGCTGATCGCTACTCTCGATGCAGGCTCTGGCCAAGGTGGGCCTGGACTTACATCCCACCAAGTGCAAGGTCCAGACGAACCAGGGCGATTTCACGCGCAGAGGCGCCATCGTGCTGACGGATGGTTTTTCCATCCAAGTTTTGGGGCCAGGCGAGCACCTCGAACTCCTAGGCATGGGCGCTTGGCTCGAGGACCCGACGGGGCAGGAAGTGGAACATCGCATCGCCTGCGGGTGGCGTAAACTCTGGGCGCTGACGACGCTGCCATTGAGCCGGTCGTATTCTTTGAAGAGGCGATTACGTTTACTCAACCCTACACCCTGCGAAATGCTTAAGAAATCATGGGTTAAGAAATTCAGAGCCTCAGAATTGGAGTAAAAACCCAGAATTTCTTTCAAAATCTTAGGATCTGCATTGAAACATTAAGAATCATCGAGACTCTGGCCGAAAACGTAGGTTTTCTTAAGCATCGCCTAAGGTGTACTGTAACAGAATGCGCTCTGTGGGAGTGCGAGGCTTGGACGCCCCGGGCAGAGGAGCCAAGAGAGCCGACTGTGGCTCAGAACCTGATGCTGCAGAGAATCGTGGGCTGCGGCCGCTCCGACGGGCAGCCGTGGGTTGACTGGGTCCGAAGAGCCACCTGGCGTGCGCGCCATTTTGGAGACAACCCCGACTACCTACCAGACCACCCCAACCCAACCCGAAGACCCGAATTTCGGGTTGGGGGGGGGTAAGGGTTCCACTTGTGTTTTTTCGATGTTTCCCGACCCCCCCCCACTGGAAATCCAGGGTAAATCTGAGCCTTCGGGTTGGGTTGGGGTGGTTTGGTGGGTGGTGAAACCCTGGGCGCAAAGAGTGGGCGCCGGAGCACTTCCGAAGAAAGTGGCTCTGGGCAGGGCGCGCGGCCCGCACGAGTGCCTTCGCACGGTGGAACGGTGTCACATCGTGGAGGGATTCTTCTTGGCAGGCCGCTGCTGGCGAGTGGGGCTCGCTTCGCCCGACGCGCCCCTCAAGTCGCAAGTGGATGCGTTCTGAAGACACCATCCGGAGATTTTGCGGAGATCGCGGGCTGGGGGAGTGGCAACTTCTCGCTGGGGGCGCAGATCATTGGACAAGTCTGGTGCCGGATGTTCTTTCGTATTCGGTGACGTCGCACTTCGACTCCTGAGGGTCTCGCGTAGGGTCCTGCCCCTCGCGGGCCACCTCTGACAGGACTTCACTTCACTTCACTTCACTTCACACCGGCGTGGCGGACCTCGACAGCCCGTCGCACACGCATGCTTCGAACAGAAAGCGTATGCATCCATGCTCGGGGCCGCGCGTGGCCTATCTGAAAAACTGCCTGGCTGCGAAGCGATTCTCTCTGGGGCGCCCCGTGTTGTGTGAGACTTCTCGATCGAATCTGAGTATGGTCGTGCATGCGCATCTCAGGAAGAAGATGAATTGGGAGCACGGAGAGAAAAGGAAGGGTTAGGGGACAGCTTCGAGGGAAAAGGACGGCTCGGGAATGATGGTGAGGAGAAGGAGCATGTCGATTCGACCCCCGTCCATACATCGAAACTCACGTCTTCCTCACACCACGCGGGTCCAATGGACCCATCTCTCTGGTGGGCGCTCGCCGAGATGAGAGAAGAAAGCATGCGCCTGCCTGCGCGGGCATGGTTTGGCGAGACAGAGAGGCACCGGAGGTGGTGGAAGGCAAGAGAAGAAGGGGGCGAGGAGGAGTATGAGTATGGGAAGAGGAAAAACGAGGAGGAGGGATGGCTCGGCAGGTTGGCTCGGGGATGCAGCATCAAAGCGATCATCCGCCACCTGCCGTCTTCCTCCTCCTGGCCCTCGCCCCCCCCCCCCCCTCCTATCCCTCCCCTTCTCCGTCTACCCGCGAACGATCCTCGGCCGCCCCGCCACTGGCGCAGCGCGTGGCCAGCCAGGGTGCCCGCTCCGCGCATCAAGGACATGAAGATCCACCTCGGCAGAGCCAGGACGAGGGAGGGGGGGAGACGACGGGGAGGAGGACTTGAGTATCTTCTATCCGATCCCCATCCCCAGCGGCGTGGCCTGGGCCCCACTGGCCGATTCACCCCCCTAGGTGGGGATATAGGCCGTTCCCTTCGGGATTCGAGGGGCGTATCCCCAGCTGGGGGGGGCAATTTGGTGGGGGTCTCGAAGGGGGCGGGGATGGGGATGGGGATCGGATGAACGATACCGAGGACTGGGTGCCAGAGGCTGGCGGCCGTACCCGCCAGCGCCTCCGTCTTCTCTGCCTCCAAGAGCTGGGAGAGCAGCACAGCAAGCAGCGGAGGCGGTGGTCTGTGCTGTTGCTTAGGTTTTCACCTTTGCGGCGGCCCGCGGGCGCGCGGCGAGGGACGCCGCGAACTACGTTCACAGCCTATGCGTCAGGTCTGGGTCAACACTAGTAGCCCCTGGTGGACGTCTCAGGCCTCTGCTATGCGGAAATCGCGCAGCTCCGTGGAACATCGAAGGAGACATAGCATTGATTAGGCATTGAAGAGGAAGACGACGACGAAGAGATGAAGGAAAAAGAGGAAGATGACGCCGAACCACTCACAATACCAGCCGTGCGCCTCACGGTTGAAGGCTAACCTCAGCAAGGCATACAAGGGAAGGAAAGGGGAGAAGCGGCGGAGGAGCATGCAGGAGGGACAGAAAGGAAGGAAATGGGGAGGAAAAAGCCGCGCTCGCCGCTGGCCGCCCCAACTGAGAGGACGTGAGCAGTACCAGAGTCTCCAGGCTGGTGCTGACGTGCCTTGTAGCACGACGAAGCAGGAAGGCTCAACGCGGGGAAAGAGGAGGGGGCGATCCCGAAACGGCCTCCCTCGGACTGCACTCGATCATCGTTCACCGTGTCTTCCCTGATCCTTCCTCCCTCCCTCCCACGCGACCCTGGGCACTGGAGCCCCAAGGGGCCTCAGGAACCACCAGCGCTGAACAAAACCCCACAAATCCACCTCGTTCGTTCCTCCTCCCCTGCCCGCCTTCCTCATCCCCCTCCTTTGCCTGCGTACGCAGGACCCGTCGCGCCGCACTGAGTCGCCCGCTGGGACAGCGGGTAGAACAGGCAGAGGAAAAAGGCCAGCCACAAGACGATGGCGACTACCTCTGCGAATGGAGGAGACGAGGGTGAGGGTAGGGGGGTGAGGAGAGGGAGGGGCAGATATATAGGAGGGCCGAAAGGTCGAAGGAAATAGGATTGGGCCTTCAACGGGTGTGGGAAGGCTTCGACGGCGAAAAATATGCTGGATCAGTTTGACGCGCTGCTCCGGCAAGGCCCAATCGTGGGCGCGCTGATCAACAACACCGAGGAAACTTGATCGAAGATTGAAACGACTCAGAGAAACTCCTCTGCCGCCGTCCCCCCATTTCCACAGAAGTCTGAAATGGCTCTGGGACGACCCAAGTGCGCCCAAGACGGTCCAAGATAGCCCAAAGACGGTCCCAGAGAGTCCCCAGACGGTTCCAGATCGTTCCAAGACGCCAAAGCTGGCCCCCCAGACGGCCAAAGACGCCTCCAAGGCGCCCCAAGAGGCCTCCAAGAGCACATCCAAGAGAGCCCGAAAAGAAAGCAAGTATTGATGTTCGGGTCGGCAACGCCAGCGTACACATAAACCGGGCACAAAACATCGGACTATTGAGACCAAGCTGCGAGAGGAGCACAACTGCCAAAGGCAGTAATCCCTTCCTCATCGTCCTCCTCCTATTCTCTCCTTCCTCCGGCGCTCGCGAACCAGTAGATCTGACTTGATGGGAGTACTTAGCACCCGTGGAAATACCATACATACCCTCAATCATCCTCCCGTGCTCCTGCTGTTCCTCCTCGTGGGAATCCTGATTGTCCTCCTCGGGCACTGTTGAATCCATCCTCCTTTCATCCACCATGCTTCCAGCCCTCTCCTCCTCCAGCCTTCATCCATGACGTACCATCGATCCCTCCATCAAACGTCCGACGATTACTCAATTCCTGTTTTTCCGGCCTCTTTCCCCATGCAGCGTCCCCCCATGCAGCCTCCCTCCAGCCGCCGCCCACTCCTCCAATCTCCATTCGTCCACCCTTCTACCCTCCATCCATTCATTCATCCCTCCGTCCATCGTCTCTCCATTGCACCCTTCTCCTCTCCTTCCCCCTGATACCAGACCCCGCCGAGCTTCCACGCATCCCTCACTTGATCTCGTAACCCGTCTCTCGGTTTTTCAATACCAACGTCATGGGGCGAGTCGCGCTTGATCGGAGCAAATAAAAACGCCACCGTGCCTGAACACGTTGAGGCATCGAACAATCTTCTAAACACACACGCCGTCCGCGGGCCGCAGACGCCTGACTGCACCACCTACTCCCGAGCGCGCCTTCGACGCCATGGCGCTTCTCTGCGCCACAGCTCAAGATGGACTCCAAACGGCCCTAGAAACGTCAACAACGCTCCAAGATCCTCCAAGAGTCCTGCCAAGTCATTCCAAACTAACCCCCAAACTCCGCCTTCAGACGGCTCCCGACAGTCCGGACGTGGTGCCACGAAGCGTTGGATATATATATATATATATATATATATATATATATATGTGTGTGTGTATATATAGCAGAGAGACCAAAGAGAAAGAGGGATATAGAGGGATCACGAGAGAGAGAGAGAGAGAGAGAGAAATAAACACACACACAGAGACCGGGAGAGAGAGAACGAGAGAGAGAGAGATAGAACAAGAGAGAGAGAGAGAAAACAGAGAGAGAGAGAGAGAGCGAGACAGAGAGAGAGAGAGAACGAGAGAGACGCACGCTAACATATGCATACGCGCTTACACATACACGAGCTGCTTCAGGCGCGCGCGCCTGCTCTGGCGCGGAGCGGTCGGTGGTAAAGTACTGGAGCATCTGCAGCGGGAGCGGCGCCACGCAGACCCCTGCCGACCGCCAAATGGGAGGGGGCGCCCTCTCGGGATGCGGCGGCGGCTGTCCAGCGCTGGAGGAAAGCGGAGAAGAGCGGGGGGAGGGAGACTGGAGGCAGGGGAGCCAGACATCGATTTTTTTCCATTCAACCTCAGTTGAAAGTTCAGTTTCGAGTTGCGTGGGGCCAGCAAGAAACCAGCGGCCTAGAGGGGCCCCAGGGGGCTCTCGGAGGCACGTCCGCAAGCACAAACTCCACTCTCGGCTGTCTGCGCGCGGTGAGCCGCTGAACGAAGGCAGCTGACAGGGCACGGTGACGGCGAGACGTTATGTTCAGCCGAGCTTGAAAGTGTTGGCCTGGGGCCCCCAATGCTCCCAGCCTTCGGGCGTTCAGCGTAAACAAAAATGCATCGCAACACGCAGGACGCAGCAATAAAACATCAGACGGCGCAGAGAAGAGGAGAAAGAGGAGGCCAAACCAATGCGGACGCCCACAAGGCTCACGGGAACTCGACAAACGGAAACCCAACCATTTCTCCAGAAGTTGTTCAAGACCAGGGCAAACACAATAATGGTTAAGATCGTCTAAATCAATCCCAAGGTCACATTTGCATCCAAACAGACACCAATTCGATTTCGCATGGCACCCCGAAGATGCATTGACGGAGTTGGTGAGGGGGCGGAGCGGGGCAACAGCAAGGCAGGTCGAGGTGAGTTTCGCCACCTCCTTCAGCTGCTGGCATAAGGTGGTGATGTGCGTCATGGAGGCAGCTGCGAACAACCTCCTGGCACGCCTAAGAAGGACAGACTGGGCTCTTTCGTCATTATCCGAGACTCCGGCAAGTCTGTAGGTTCTCGTCTGGAGCTTGTTCCCGTCAGTGTCCAGGCGGGGGCTGAGGGAATGAAACGAATTGAGAGTGCGACGGATGTGGTTAATAAACGAGTTCTCGTTCCACCCCCTATGCCACCGATGCGGAATGTGCTCTAGATCATCTCGCGCAGCCTGAAGGGCACCAGTAGATATTCTCACTGCCTCAGAACGAAGGGCGAAACGGGCACAAGAGGCTTTCGCCATCGCGAATATGTCAACACATTCGACCCCTAGTCCTATCTCCTGCAGCCGCGCCGCCAGCTCGTAGGAGATCGCATTCCGCGGACAGACGGTCAACAGCAGCACGCCATCCGTGAAACACTGTGTCAGTTCACCACTGGCGGTGTAGAATTGAAATATGAATTGCAATAGTGAGACCCGCATCTTACGGAACGCAACACAACTGCGCGAAAGCCCGACTCTCAAAGCTCTTGTCAGGCGAACGTGGTTACGGAACTCCAGAGGTTCAAAAAGATGCTCTCCCAAACATGAAGATGCCCGTCGGGGCCGATCGGACCTCCTAAGTGCACCGGCCAAGAGACCACTTGAAACTTGTCCGCAGGATCCCCAAAACTCCTGATGAACCGATTTCGCGATCTTCAAGTCCAGGCCCCCGCAACCTACGACTTGGCACTTGTTAGAATTGAGGTGGAGGTTCGCAATCTGGGAGAACATCAAATGACCTTCCAAGACGGGCCCGAGGTCCCTCAGCATGTTCTGAAGCCCGACGAGGAGGTCATCGGCGTAGGCAAGGTTGAGGTGCGCGCGTGTGTGTGTGTGTGTGTGTGTGTGTGTGTGTGTGTGTGTGTGTGTGTGTGTGTGTGTGTGTGTGTGTGTGTGCGTGCGCGCGTGCGTGCGTGCGCGGGGGGTGGGGCGGTGGGGGGGGGGGGGGGGGCAGCGCGACAGAGCCAACGAAGGAGGGGGTCGGTAGCGAGCGCGTAGAGCAGCATCGAGGCAGGACAGCCTTGCTTATCCCTCATTGAATCCCGACGGTACCGCGCTTGCCGCCGGCGAAGAGGATGGCGCTAGCATTCTCATGGCATAACACCCCGAAGAAGCGGGCGAGGAACAGTGGCAGCTTCATCTCGCGACACACAAAAAACACTCGGGAGCGAGAGATGGGAAGGCCGCAGAGAAGTGGGTGAGAAACGCGGAGGCTCATGGGATTCCCTGCATGCGCTGGCAACTGGCCCAAGTCTCGGCACGAACGACATGCACCAGCATATCCCGACCACGAAGACGCGTCTGAACAACATCTACCAAGTGAGACACATGAGTGAATAAAGAGATGGTGAGGGCGCGAGCGATCAGCTTGATATCTGCATTAGAACTGCTAAACAACAAATACAAGATGGGTGGCGCGCAAGACCAGCGCCGTCTGCCGGCCCCTTCGGGCCCGCGCCCTCTGGGGGAAAAATAGAAGGCACTCGCGCATCTCGGGCGGAAGGGCCGAGATCTGATCTGTGAACAGGGTGGCGTCGACATCGTACAACGCGCGCGCAGCTTCAGCATTCCTCCAAGCAGAGTATGGAACGCCGTCTGGACTTGGCATACTGTTGGGGGCGGAGGAGGATCGTCTCGTACCATATGCTGTGGGGGAACTGCCATTCTGTTTTGAGGGGCCCCGAGAGGTGCTGAATGCGGGGGTCCGCGGAGCTCCAGAGGTCAGGGTTGATCGGAGGCTTGCCGAAGATGGGGGCCCAGTATTCCTGAAGGCCCTTCGCCGAGCCCTGGGCGTTCGCAAAGATCTCAACAGCCCCCGCAGATGTTCTCGAGGTAGGTGCGTCTCTTAAATTGTCGCCAGAATTCTTTGCGACGAGCACTGCGTGCAAGGAGCGCCGATCTCCTGTCCTCGTCGACCCCTGGCTTCTGGATGTCCTTCTCCTCCTCCCCCAAGACCTTAATGAAGAGAGCCTGCGCATACTGGCATAAGCCATCGAGGTGAACGCGCCCGTCGAGGTCCTGGCTAAAATGCGCCCTCAGACGCGGGGGCCTGCATGGCGCGTCTGCTAGACGCACGCGGTGTCCGAGCCGCGCTGCGCGGAGCGCTGCGAGAGCACAGAAATGGCGTTCACGCAACGCAGCGGAACTTGTTCCAAGGGTTCCACGCCAGAGGAATCTGCCGGGGGTCTGTCGAGAGCCTCGTGGAAACCGGTGCCCTCGGTAACCCGCGGGGCAATGGGGGGGGGGCACGCGGAAGGGGTGAAAGGGGTCGATGCACGCGACGACGGGGATGCGATCACTACTCATATGAGCCTGCAGGGAGCCAAAAGCGCAAGCCCGACGGGTGAAATCACGTCGGAAGCCAAGCGGAACCGAAGTATATAATGTGTCAATACGTGAAGCAGACGAAACAACTTTGTCACGCTTACCACGTCGGGTGCACTGGCCCTGGTAAACTTTTGTCAGGAAGGGAAACGCGATGTCGAAACATCGGGAATGTCCGACGCCCACCAGGAGTAAACGCACTCGTGCCGCAACGTAGTCGGCCCTCGTGCTCGATCGCAAGGTTGAAATCGCCAATGAGAAGACAGCGTGCATGCTGCCCATCTCCACCAGGCAGGTGGAGTCACATGCCCTGTCGGATCGTGGCGAGAACCTCTGAATATCGGCATGGGGTCACTGGTCTTCGAGAGGTGGGAGCTGTAGATGACGAGGTTCTCCCGGGGGCAAAAGGGAAATCCCTCGAGAACTCGCCCTGGGAGGAGCGCCTCGTGCCGTATTTCAGCGAACCGAGAACGCAGCCTAGCCGAGATCGCAGCGACGACTCCCGCCCTCGCGGTTGGAGCCGAGGAAGGAGAAGCCGATCCGGTGCTGCCTGAGCTCGCGCTCCAACTCGTTAATGTCACCGATGTGCCCATGTGTTTCTCGTGCTGTACGAATGTCGCGTGATATAGCGATATCTATGAATGCGAAGAATCTCTTGGGGGCAATCTTGCCGGCAGCCCTCGCTGACGCCATCGACGCCCGGCAATTCCACGGGCGTGCTCGGAGCGGGAAGTCGCGAAGGAAGTTCTGGATACCATTGTTAGCCCACCAATGAGGGAGGTTGGGGGGGGGGGGGGGGGCACTGCGCAATGCCTAAGCCGTCCAAGAGGCGCTGAAAGGAGCGCCGCAGCTGTGCGTGGCCGCTGCGGAGATCGATGCTGCGTGTTGCGCGAGCTCAAACTCAAGCAAAGCGTCGTGGCCGAGGTCGCAGCGGACGGCTCTTTGGTCGCCCACCGCAACGGCAGCGACCTGGACTGGGTCGTGTGGACCGCGCAAAATGTATACACTTCCGCCAAGGCCTGAGGAGCCCCCTCAAGTCCTTTAACTCGGACGAGGACGGTGATCCTGGTCCTCACGCGTCCGAGAGACAAAAAGAGCTGGCGAGAGTTGAGATTCATATCTCGGCGAAGCCTGAAGGATAGGTTCACCGATGGGTTCAGAGGGTCGGGGTAGTCCCAGCTGCTCTGCCTGGCAGCGTAGTTGTCCATGAATGATCCTGCAGGGTGATATTTTTGTTCATGTCGAATGCACGTACCACAATCCTCTCTGCCTCTGCAGCTGGGGCGAAGGCAGTCCGGCACCAATCACCAATGATGCGAATCACCAAAGGCGAGCATGGGGCGCTTGAAACCAAGGACCACAAGCTCGCAGGTCTGTTCCTGGAGTTGCGATCGATCACGTTGTTGAGACGTGACAGATTTCTCACTGCTGGTCCGACGCGGCGTGGGGGTGGAGTTGAAATCACAGATCTGCTTCTCGGAAATAACTTGGCGAGTCTTGGGATCAGCGATGGCGTCTTCAATGCTCGACAGCTTCTGACTGGCGAAATGTGAGGCAGCTTGTACATCCATAGCGTCTTCGCGGGGTTGGTAGCCACCTGCATTAAACTCCTGTTGGAAACGAGCGACCCGTGTGTCCAGGTCATGTACACAAGTACCCACAAAGTTTTGCAACTCAACATGTTTATTCTACAACCCGCGGCTTACTAGCGTCAATTGATCAGCCACTTGACTGCAACGCCCGATGCTGGTATTGCATGCGCTAGGGATGGCAAGAACGTCTTGACTTTGATTGGCTACAACTTGTGATAACTATGCCATGCTGCCGGTGAGCTGGTCCTGTTTCTTACTGTTCATGTCAGAGGGGTCAGACGAACTG